ATGATAAATTGTGGACGTCATCTTAGATAGGAAAACGATAGATACTTTAGTACTTGTGGAAGCAATCACACGATGTTAAATATAAGGTATAAGTGTTAATAACAAAACAAGTGTTTATTCATGTTCACAAGGCTTTATTGATATAGAAAACAAAGATAGAAATTTAGGTAGTTACTAAGGAGCTTTTTTTTTTTTTTTTGTCACTACTGAGGAGCTTTGTTGAAATTTAAAACATGTTGATTGATAGGGTTATTTGGTTGTATAGGGTTATTTGGTTGTAAGAGTTTTATAAAGATCTTTAGAAGGTCACAACTTATAAAGATCTTCATCATTGGACCTCTGACTCGGAGCGTCCGGAACTCCTACCATATCTCTCAGTCGTTTAAATTGCGGCTTCGAACGGGTCTTGATATTTACCAGATTGCCCTTACAATTCATAAAACTTATGAATCGATCCTTTTAACTGGTTCTGAACCAATCTTATTTTAAACGGTTTTGTTCATAAAAGAAATGAAAACGTTGCCGTTTTTTTATTCAGAAAATCAAAAGGGCGCTAACACAAAAGCACATATAAAGAAAATATAGCTGATACATTCAACAGTCTTTAATCCGCATAATCAAAGTTATAACTAGTTGTAACCCTTATTACTATTAAAAGCATCTCATTTGGGGCAGACAGGGTCGAACGTGAATGGACCAACGTTGAAGAGACCGTAGGTGAGTTTGTTGATGATGACCGAGGATCTTCCCGGTTTGGAAACCGGCTTTAGAACGGAGCCGATGTCTCCGCGGTTAAGCTTCGACACTTTGCTGCATTTGGCCTCCGGCGACTTCACGAGGTAAGCTTTGCAACCATTGACGCCGTATTTGGTCACTGTCTTAGGGGCCAAGAGCAAAAAGTATCCATTCTTGTCCGTCTTTGTCTCTGATATCGAGTTCTTCTTGTTCTTTGTGATTTCTTGTGACTCTTGGGCCAAAGTTGGACTTCGGGTTTGGGCCTGGAAAATCAGAAGACAATATAATTAAAGGCAATTATACAAAACCAATTGAAGAAAGGAAAAGTTGTACGATCAAGAAAAAGGCATTAAGGAAGTCGGTTGATGGTTTTCCATTCTCTACAAGGAACAAGACTTGAACCATGCCTATATATACACTTTTATCTTCTGTAATTTAGATCATCACAAATTCT